AATATTTAATAAAGAAGTGCTAATTAATGGAAAAACTTCCTTCAACAGCTTAGTTGGAATTGGGTCTAACATGCACGTTGATGGTTTAGAAGAGAGAATCATTGAATTTAATTGTTCAAGGTTTATGGCTGAAAAGCATTCTAGTTTACTATCTAGTGTAATATTAGAACTTACGTTTCCGGGAGCTGTTGATAACACTATACTGGTCAAAGGCAAGAGGTCATTAATTTTGTTACTAAGAGTAACAATGTTATCGTTAAAAAAGCGCATAAAATAATTGCTACTGAGTGCTATGGCTGTGGCTCTCTGTCAGCCTGGTTACAGTGCTGAAAAGAAATCTTGCATTATTCTTATTCTCATCTATTAATGAAGAGTAGTAGGCTGCTCTCGCTTTACCCAGTGCTTTCTTATATTCATTGAGAGTAATATGTCAAATTAAACGAGATTCTTCAAGTTTAGTGGAACACCATATCCTTTCAAGTTGTCTCGACTTTTGCTTTATTTTGCGGGTTTCGGCATTATGCCATGGAGCTAAGTTTTATTTTCTTCTTTTTCAAAGGAGCAACAGAGTCTAATTTTATTCGCAACGCATCTGTAGCACTATCAACAACATGATCAATTTGGGGTGGTGTACATTTTGTATAAGTTTCCTCCCTTACATGCAGACATGCTATCGAGTTAAGTATTGGTGGAATCTCTTCCTTAAATTTGGCTATAGCACTAACAGATAGGTTTCTGCTGCAGGAGCTTTTGACTAATGCTTTGTAGTCTAGTAACAGTACTTCAAAAGTTACTAAGAAATGGTCGGATAAAGCAGGATTATGCGGTTCGACTAATAGTTGCTCAATTTCAATACCATAAGTCAGAACAAGGTCGAGAGTGTGATTATAGCAGTGGGTTGGTTTATTTACACTCTGACAAAACCAACAGAATCTAATATAGAGTTAAATGCAACAGTAAGGCTATTTTTATCATCGTCAACATGAATATTAAAGTCACCTATGATAATTACTTTATCTGTTTTAAGAACCAAAGTTGATAAAAACTCAGAGAATTCAGATAAGAATTCTGAATAAGGACCTGGTGCACGGTACACTGTAACAAATAAGATTGGCTGCACAGTTTTCCAGGTCGGATGCGTAAGACTAAAAACGAGACTTTCAAAGGAGGTATAATTTAATTTTGGTTTAGTATTGATAAGTAAACTTGAGTCAAAGATTGCTGCAACTCCACCTCCTCGGCCCATGCCTCGGGCAATATGAGTATTGATATGGCTGGGTGGAGTGGCTTCATTTATGCTGACATATTCTTCACGTCTCAACCAAGTTTCAGTGAGACAGCATATATCAATATTATGATCTGATATTAAATCATTTACCAATATTGCTTTAGATGCTAGAGATCTTATGTTTAAGAGACCACATTTAATGTTCCTGTTTTGTTGCACTGTAGTAGTTGTTACATTTACTTTTATTAGGTTATTATGTATGACACCTCTATTAGGTTTTACCTTAAATTGTCCTTGGGCAGACACACACACCGTTAATATTGGGTATTTTATTGGGTTCGAGATTCCTATGGATGACTGCCTAGGAGGGAGCGCAGAGAAGCGTTTAAGACTGCGACTCCGCCTCCTGGTCTCAACTCCAGTTTGTCATGGATTAAGTCCACAAAGCCCTGAAATGTTTGCTGAAATGAGATTTGCACCTTCCAAAGTAGGATGAATGCCGTCTCTCTTAATCAGACCATGTTTTCCTCAGAAGGCTGTCCAATTATTTACGAAGCCCACATTGTTTGCTGGGCACCACCAAGACAACCAGCGCTGAAATGATGACATGCGGCTATACATGTCATCATTGATCAGATTGGGGAGGGGACCAGAGAAGATTATGGTGTCCAACATTGTTTTAGCATAACTACACACCGACTCCACATTAAGTTTGGTGCATTCTGATTGGCGTAAACGAACATCATTCGACGAGGATGTCAATAATCCTGTGGGAGCCATCAGGAAAGCAGCATGACGAGACCCAGGCAGGACCACAGAGACAGGCCCAGCCACGACTCGAAGTCCACGACTTAATCCAGAACTCAGGATAGAGGATCCAGGGCACAGGACCACAGCAAGAGGATCAGCCTCGACTCCGGATCCCGGCATAGATATAGACACAAGAGAAAGAGAACATTTGGGGGAGGCTGGGTTAATCGGAACATGCAAACACACAGACACAGACAGGCACATGCAGGGAGCAAGGTCCCCGCTGGGGCCTTAGTTGGACATGTGCTACCAAGCAAGTGTACTCGAGATTGAGAAACACCCTCTGTCTCACAGGAGGTACCGTTGGAAAGCTACACTTCCAGCAATTCCGGGGATATCTGAATCATATTTCTACTCCTTATAATCAAAAATATATGATTAATTACGTAAATGATGCACACCTGGACGCGCCGGCGAGGCGCTAGGCAGCTAAAAACGGCAAAATGGCTCACCTGTGTCGTTGTCTGGTCAAAAGTGGTCTTCAATGGCATTAAAACGATAAAAACGCTGCTGAAGTTAATCCATAGATTAATCCAATGTGTCTGTGTCACTTTAAATGATTTCTGATAATCCATAAGCAATAAACCTGCTTTTCCGTTTCCAGATGTCAGAGCGAGAGATAGGTTCGCTCTCATGCAAAACTGGGCGCGCATAGCTCTCATTTCTCAATGGTAAGGTGTGTGTGTGTATGTGGAAATTCCCCTTCGATCCTATTGGCTCTAACGATCAAAAAGAGATGTCAATCACCAAAATCGACCAATGGGTTCCAGAGAAATGGTAAAAACGGCCATTTCCACCCAAATCACCTCAGAGGTGGAGTTTATCATTACTTTGAGAAAAAAGATTATTCATTTTCCCCTTTTAGAAGTGTAGTTATGGTCATTTGTTCTGGAAATGTCATTTTCGAGCCTGAGACCTGAAAAACATGCTCAGGTTAAGGCTCTAGTGTTTTTGCACAATTTAATAATACACAAACATAACAGATAACAAATGACAAACAGTGCAAGAGGAGGCAAAAAACCCATTGGGCTTATTTAAAGGCCTTTCTTATTAATGCTAAAAATCAAAATGTTATATAAAACACAAGATCAATATACCACAATTGCTTAAATTCAATAAAAATTGCAAACTTTAAGAACAACATATACTATACTTTTAACAAAATAACACTGTTGTGACTCTCAAAACCTGGCATCACGCAGTGGTCAAATGATTTCTTAAAGCAATGCAGTGAGGTACAGTTTTGTGTTCTGGTTGGGAAGGCCATTCCAGCTCTTTGTTCCACTTAAACGGATGGTAAACTTAGCTCTACGAGTAAGACTCATAGGGGGGTGGACATTTGATGAGTGGCTTGTTGCATAAAAATTAACCTGTACATTTTGTATTAAGTAGGCTATGTATTGAAGTGCATGGGAATGATCCCTTTTCCTGAATATATTTTGTAAATAAAAACATTAATTTGATAAACGTTGATGTCGTAAACTATAAGTATCTGAAGCCTGTGTAATTAAGGAGCAGAGATCTTAGTGCAATACTTAAGCATTTCTGAAGGGACACATTTGTATGGAGAGTAGTAGGGAAAGTACTTGCCCATACATATAATGATGCCCAAAACGTCTGAATGACATGATATTTTTTCTTTTTTATCTGATGTGGGTTGGATTTGTGTATGGTCTGTTTTGACAGTCTTCTTGCATCATTTTCACTTTGAGTTGGGCTCCTGGGCCACACTTTCTGGGTCCTTTCTAATTTATCAGTGTTCTACACCCAAAACCATTTCCCATCTGGGTATTAATAAACTAGTATTTTTACTAGAAATTTACTAGGAAAACTGTTTCACAGCTCACGTTCAATTCTTGTTACTTTATTTAATTTTTCTGTGTGAGTTTTACCTGATGAAGGGCGGAGGATTGGATCACAGTTAATAAAGGAAGACAGTACCCAATTATCTTGTACTTTTACAGATATTTAAATTTTTAATAAGATAGTGTTTAAAGATGAAAATAGACAGAAAATGGGGCGAGAGGGGGGGAATTATATGCAGCAAAGGGCCATGGGTCGGATTTGAACCTTGGCTGCGAAGGACCATGGGGCAATAGGCGCGTTCACACCTCAGTACTTTTCCCACTTTAGTTCCGATGTAGTTCCGAAATGTTGCGTTCACACCAAAAAAATCCGGAACTAAAATTAGTTCATGAGAACCTTTTTCCATCCCTGCTAGAGAGCAGGGATTTTCGTGGGAGATAAAGGTTCCTATTTCTGATAGGCTGGGCGGATTGCAAACCACGCCCCGTAAAACTCCGGGGACTTCCGGCCGGGGACTTCGGGTGGAAGTGGTTTGCGGCCTGCCAGTAAACCCAAAGCAGAAGAAGAAGAAGTGATGTCAGCGGCTCATTTGCCTAATCCACCCCCAGGGACTTATTCCGGTGTGAACGCGATCTGTACTTAGTTCATGAGAACTAAAGAGTTCTCATGAACTAAGTTCTGATGAACCTTTGTGGGAAAAGTACTGCGGTGTGAAAGCGCCTATTGAGCGTCTGTTCTGTAAAACACATCTCACAGACAACCACACCAGTCTGTAAATCTTTTTGATGTGCAAGATCTTTGTAGCGACTGTCAAGCAGCAGAAAGAATAAGTTAAAAATATTTAGAGAGCCTAACATTGGAGGTCCTTCTGCCTTCGAGACGCAGGTCAGGGCTGAATCCCTGAACACACTGACAGGTATTTAAACAATTTCTTGTTGTTTTGGGATTCATTGGGAAACAATATTCTAATTTACTTTTGTCCTGAACATATTTTGTGTCTAAGACTAAATGTTATATCTAATGTTATTTTGTGTTTATCTTGCCTGAACAATATCAAAGATGTGTGCAGAGATTAAACTTCATACATGTTTGAAATATGTTGTTAAATCAGGTTTAACATTGTTTTCATCAGCATTTTATAAAATAAACAAACGTGTTTCTGTACAACAGCACTATTTTTATTCAATCACTTCCTTCACATGAGAATAGTTCCATTTACCCTAAAAACAAATGTGAAGCCAGAACACAGAGCTTCAGGGACGGTCTCAGCAGTGTGTCCTCTGAAGTCCTCAGGAGGAAAACATCTTGTAATGACCCTTCAATCCCACATGTTTCTGATATTTCTTTTGTTGAAATATATACCAACATTTGATTAGTTTTAAAGCAAAATGCACTACTGTTGTGTGAATAAAAGTGTGTAGACAGCTGCCAACATGTTGGTAGCTTTGTTTGATCTGTTCGACTGTTTTGGATCATAGTTCCTTCTCTTTCCTTCTGCTTGGACCTGCACTGGCGCAGGAGTGTTGAGTTGGTAGCAAACACATAGTGCAACATACAATAAATACAATATGCAAAAGATACATGAATGATACATCTACCTTGGGGTCCCTCAGGGGTCTATTCTGGGCCCCCTGTTATTTACTATACATTTTTACTGCAAAGCAATGTGTATGTTTTAAAATGTGCTATTTAAATACGGAGCGTTATTATTATTATAAATGAAGAGCTTTTTTAAGCAACATTCTCTGGAAATACAAATGTATATCCAGTAAATGTAATTTTTCATTCCAAAACAAACTGCCATGTGACAGCACTTATCTGTTCTGAGAATGACATGAAGTTGTGCATGATGAAAAAAAAAGATTGATGACATTTTGATGAAAATTACATGAACAAGGGAAGTGAACAATTGAAAAACTGGAATGTAAAGTTATTTATTTTCCTCCTGCAGCCCCAGCGCTCCCCACATACGGAGTAAATACATTTGAATATTGCTGAAGCCAGACTGATGTAACACGGAGGATACGGTGACCTCTTGGACACAAAACTTGTTATAAAGCTTTTTACAGTCGAAAAAAACATAAAGCATTTTTCAAAAGTGCATAAATGTGATCAGCATGGACTGACATGAACATAATGTAACAGATTTTCTGCAGGATCAACGTGTGCTTGCTTTAGTTTGTTGTGTTTGTGCTTTGTAAAGTTTTAAGCCCACTTATGTTCAAGAATATATCAAACTGTCAAGTAAAGTGTTAGGAAAGACATTTGCAATATACAGCTGTTGCTCACAGGGACTATCTTGACTGATAGTTAAAGGAACAATTCAACATTTTCTTCATCATGCAGAAGAGGGATATCAGTACAGAGAGGATTTAAAAAGGGGGGGAAAGAAGTAGAAAGTAATACATTTTAATGAAATATAATTATCTTGTTTAACTTTCGGAAACCAGCAGTGGCACTACATCAGCAAGACCACGTGGGGCAGCGCTTACCCAAAGCAACCAATTTAAAAACAGCAGCCTTGAACTAGCTCCATCAGGAGAGAGAAAACACACCTTTCAAGTCTGTCTGATCGGCATGAAACACAGAAAGCTTTTAGTATTGGTCCTGGCGAACAATGAAGAAACTTTAATTATAGCTGACAAAAGCAACGTAATTCATTTGTGTTATAAGCTTTCTATTGAAACTTGATGCCAAAAAAGTCCTTAAAGTGCTCAAAAGCTACGTGGAGCCATATAATGGATCTCTACTTTAAACTCTGCTTTTTTTAAAAGAGCACTTCACATTGTTAGACTAATGAACGTCAATAAGTGTGTATTTTATTACACATACAATTTGCCAAACCTGGCGCCTACATTGCCCAAAATGCACCTCAATCTGCTTTTAAATGTTTGGGAGATTGTGGAGTGATGAAGATGAAACTAATGATGATTCCAGAAATGTCCCCGTCTCTTTAAATTATACATACAGTTTGTCCAGCTATTTTTGCTAACGGATGTTGTCTCCAGAGAGCCTGACAGAAATGAAAACAAGAGTGGAAGGCCGGCTTGTGCTTGTGGAATTCATTGAAGCCATTTTGACTTTCCTGATGTTTTAAGAGCGTCTGCTGTTTGTCCTGCAGTCTGTCAGCGTATTAGAGTGGCCGTGCTGTTAATGTGTAGGGTAAAGACCTTTAGCTTGTATGTAGGCGTTCTTCTAATGATGAGCAGGAAGCAGAACCGACAGGGAACATCCTGTAGTTTGCGGTCACAGCCAGCAAGAATATAATTATAATGGAATTGTTGCTCGTCCTGTTAGATAAAGGAATACTTCACTGTTTTCAGCCTTATCTGTAGCTGTTTAATGGCTGCATTTATGATCAATATGTGGCGAACAGTCATGAGGCAGCTAACCACAGGGTGTGGTCGCAGATATGAAAAAAGTAAACCAGGGCTCCCATCCTCTACTCAGGGCACCAACCAAACCACAGGAGAGGACGCTGGGACAAGCTAAAGTGCGCCTTTTAGCGAGGTGACCATGATGCTCAAATCCTAGCTTAGCATGTAGCTATGGTACAGCAGAGTCAAGGGTTTGTTTTTAAACCAAAATCACAAGAATACAAGTTTAAAGAATTGATCTACTCTACTTTAGTTCTCTGTTACATACTTCCAAGCCAAGAGTTAGCATATTGTTAGCTAGCTCCATTGTTTTGTGAGGTTACATAAAGTATCGGATAGAAAACACCTCTTCAAATCTCAGAACCATTATTTCTGTAATGTTATCTCGTCTCTGGTTTACTTATTCCTTCAACAATCTTTAATCCTCTAATCTTTGTACTGCGTCTGCTGCTCAACAATTTCCCACAGGAATAAATAAAGTTATATCTTATTAACATTATGCTTCTACACAAAGTTACATTCATGGCTTGGCCAAAGATACACAAAATCAAATCAGTGGAGTATTCCTCTATTATAATTTGAGTGTAATGGTTGATGGGGCTGTATATGTAAGTGTTCGCAGCCACAAACACAATCCAGTTCAGGGCCAGGAGCATCCCAGAGGCCCTGTCATAAGGTAAAGATGGATGGGGGGGGGGGGGGGGAATCTCTATGGGAGTTCATTAGCAGACTCCCCCTCCTGTTTCCACATCTGTACAGCGAGTCCAGCGCCTGCTCTACATGATGCTGCACTTCCCCTTCAACTTGTCGGCTCGTTTCTGTTTCCCTGAGCGCTTGCCGTCGATGCTCAGGCTCATGTCCCTCTTCTTCTCTAGGGACAGCAGCTCCTGGAACAGTTCCTTCACGTTGGAGTTTGTCTTGGCCGATGTCTCCATGAAGGAACACTTCCAGGCTGCAGCCTGAGCCTCGGCCACCTTCGTGTCCACCTCGCGCTGAGCCGTCTCATCGCTTTTGTTGCCCACAAGCATGATGGGAATGGATTCCACCGTACCTTTGATGGCAAGGACCTGGAGGGAAATGTCATCAAGTCAAGACAACATTTCCAGAGAACATTTATGATGCAGCTTTACAGCTTTCACAGTTGGTAAAAAAACTAAAGAAAAGAATAAACACGTTTTACTGCTGCTGAGCTGAGACTAATACATATCAAATCAATATTTTACTCTGGACTGAATGTCAATGCTAATCTGCACGCAGAAAATGAGACCAAGTTCAGACAGAAGATATTTGATATCTATTTATCCTGTTGACAACTCTGAGGTTCCTCTAAGATTTGCTCATAAAAAATAACAAAACTTGTATTAAATATAAAGTTAAGGTAAAAGTACCCTTAAAAGAGCCTACATTAACTAAATAAAGACTAACCTGTTGGTATATGGGTTTCAACTCCTCCAGTGATTGGCGGCTGGTGATGGAGAACACTAGGATGAAGGCGTGGCCCTTAGAGATAGAAAGTCGCTGCATGGCGGGAAACTGGTGACTTCCTGTTGTGTCAGTAATCTGCAGCGTACAGACGCTCTTGTCACAGCTGATCACCTGCAGAGAGAACAGCTTCTAATCAATATTCGTAAAAGTGTGTTATTACAAGCGTTGAAGTGACACCAGAGAGACCTACCTGTCTGTACGTGTCCTCCACAGTGGGGATGTAGGTGTCTCTGAAGGTGCCTTTGACAAACCGAAGGACCAGCGAGCTCTTCCCCACTCCACCGGCTCCAAACACCACCACCCGGTAATCGTTACTCTGCTCAGGCATTCTGGGAGTTAAGGTCCGCCTGCTGCTCTGGATATCTGACTTTATGCTGGACAGGAGGGGAGAAGAGGAAAAGTTGGATTATGGCAGAAATCTGGAAATGTTAAATCACACATCATTCAGTACAGAATGATTACTGAAGGATTAGCCCTTTGTATAAATATCATGTATGAATTTACGTTAATTAAGATTCTAGTTAGAATTTTTTTATTAGATATTCCTGAATGGATATCACCATTTGTGGCAAATGAAGCAAATCAAATGAAAAATAATAGAAAGGTTGAAATCAGGTAATATTCTCAAAGCAGGGTTAAAAGGGAAAGCGAGAGGAGCATAAGCTTCTGATCACACTGTTCGCACAGAGCGAGGCAGGAACAGACAAACCATTTGAATGAAATTAGTCTAAGTGCCATCAACAGTAACTGGTCAATGAGAAGCACTCTGCTGTATTCTGGGAGAGTCCTTCAGCTGGACACACAACCTGCTTCAACTGCAGATCATCCCCATCATAATAATCCACTGTTAGCACGCCCAGCTGTTGAACGATTGCTTTAAATGTCAAACTGTCTGGTTTAGGTTAGATTACAGTTTAGTTTAGAAAATAAAACCATTTGGAAACTGTTTGTTTTAGCGATTATTAAAGGTTTAGAGAAATGCGCTACTGGAACCAGACATTTGTGGACAAGGGCAGAGGCGATAAGACATAACGGGATGTGGGACCAATGGATACCTGGAGCCCCCTTCGTCATGAGAGAAAGTTTGCTCTGAAATTAAGATGTGAGACCATTACTGAGACCACCAGGAGATGATCCTAGAGATGTGGGCAACAAATTGAACCACATAGGCCATAAAGAGCAGTACCCTCCAGATATATCTGTAAGCTATCATCCTGTGCCACAGATTCAGGCTGATGGTAACCCACTAACCACACATCGTTGTGCTGGACAGTTGTCAGCTCTGATAGACATAGCAATCCCAAGCAAAAGGCCCAAAAAGAAATACGAAGGGCTCAGAGAGGAGCTGGAGAAGATGTGGAAGGTAAAGCAGCAGTGGTTATGTGGTGGTCTGAGCACTGCAGTACCCCCAAACTGGGACAGTTGTTCCAGAAAATCCCAGGAACAACATTCGAGATCTCAGTCCCAAAGAGCGCAGTCCTAGGAACAGCTAAGATACTGAACCCTCAGAAGAGCTCAGTCCGAGGAACAGCTAAGATACTGAACCCTCAGAAGAGCTCAGTCCTAGGAACAGCTAAGATACTGAACCCTCAGAAGAGTGCAGTCCTAGGAACAGCTAAGATACTGAACCCTCAGAAGAGCGCAGTCCTAGGAACAGCTAAGATACTGAACCCTCAGAAGAGCTCAGTCCTAGGAACAGCTAAGATACTGAACCCTCAGAAGAGTGCAGTCCTAGGAACAGCTAAGATACTGAACCCTCAGAAGAGCTCAGTCCTAGGAACAGCTAAGATACTGAACCCTCAGAAGAGTGCAGTCTGAGGAACAGCTAAGATACTGAACCCTCAGAAGAGCTCAGTCCTAGGAACAGCTAAGATACTGAACCCTCAGAAGAGCTCAGTCCGAGGAACAGCTAAGATACTGAACCCTCAGAAGAGCTCAGTCCTAGGAACAGCTAAGATACTGAACCCTCAGAAGAGCTCAGTCCGAGGAACAGCTAAGATACTGAACCCTCAGAAGAGCTCAGTCCTAGGAACAGCTAAGATACTGAACCCTCAGAAGAGCTCAGTCCTAGGAACAGCTAAGATACTGAACCCTCAGAAGAGCTCAGTCCTAGGAACAGCTAAGATACTGAACCCTCAGAAGAGCTCAGTCCTAGGAACAGCTAAGATACTGAACCCTCAGAAGAGCTCAGTCCTAGGAACAGCTAAGATACTGAACCCTCAGAAGAGTGCAGTCCTAGGAACAGCTAAGATACTGAACCCTCAGAAGAGCTCAGTCCTAAGAACAGCTAAGATACTGAACCCTCAGGCTCCAGGCCTCTGGTGGAGGACCTGAGCCTGAAGGATAAGAACAGAGCGCCCAGGATGGAGGGCATTGGGAATAATACATATATTTATATATTAATAATTAGTGTGCCTTCAAAGACACATTTCACAATACATGTACTTCTGATAGTTCATCTCTTGATTTATCCAAACGTATGTGATTTGGGATGCTAACCCTGTTAATTGTATAAACACCGCACTTGACTACTCATATATTTATAGGTGCTTTGTTATATATTCTTTATTCATTTACAGTACAGTTAAGCAGTTTTGTTCAGGTTAGCTTTATTTTAAAATACATTGGTAAATGTATTGACTTTTTGGTTACAGAACGCTTAACCCTGGTTAAGAAAGTACTTTCCTCACTTTACTTAACTTCCTATAAACTACTACATTGCCTACAACTTTAAAATAAATTATATGATATATTCAGCTCAAACAGATCACAAATAATATGTGAATAAGAATGATAGGACGAATGCATATGATCATTTGTGTGTCTCCTATCTAACAGACAGTGAGAGATGAATAAATCCTCCAGTGACATTTCAATGTTCAGTGACTGAAACACGTGAGGCAGCCTCATCCTCTCTGAACCCTCTGTGTATTCACAGATGACGTGAGGAACGGGAAGGAATTAAAAAAATGGAGCTAAGGCCTTGGGGAGTTACCCAGCATGCCGAGCAGTATTCCCGACAGAATGACTAACGAGCATTGATTAGAGCTTTGCATCTCATTGAAGAGGAGCGCTGATAACAACCAAAACACTAGAGGAGAGAAAGCGCTACACAGGAGTCCGTTCCTCCTGTGTCCCAAGTGTTCTGTGTTTAATGCTACAGCAAACTTCATTTCTCTGCAATAAATATCCCATCTACCCTTTTATTAATCTCACTGAGAGTTGACAGCCTCCTGCTACTCACAGATCCAGACTGTGATTACGTCTGTGGAACAGGAGATACTATCACACCATCATGTTCTTCCTCCCACTGCTTCCTGCTGTATGAGCCAAGCTCTCAGTGTACAACCTCTACATAGCATCAGAGTACAAGAGTTCAAACTCAGCTCATCAAATTAACTTTTTACATTTAATAGTAAAAAGTATTCTGAAATGTATTCAGTGTATAATGCTTTTAATCTCCTTCAATATTTTAAGTTGCTATCTTGCAGAGCTCTGTTTGTTCTCTTTGGCGCCACCTTTGTCGCTAAATGGTAATTACAGGTTTGTTTTGCACTTCCCAGAAAGCCAAACATCGTTACCAATAGTAAGTGGGCTCCTGGGACTTGCTATCACTTTTTTCTTTTATTCAGCAAAACCAAACATGTGCTGGGCTTAGAGTTTGGTAAAAAAAAGGTCCCTTGACACACAAGTGAGCTGAAGGGCGATTCTGTTGCATTAGCTTCGCCTATTGCGTCTGTGGTGGAACAACAACTGGGTGATGGAAAATGCATGACTAGATTTTCATTTTGTGTTCCAGAGGGATATTTGTTTTCACAGCTGGTACATGACAGACCATTAGCTGTAGGCCGCTTGTCTCCAGATAGCCTGCTCGTATTACTGCAAATCCAATGGCTTTCATGAGTGGGCTCAATCTCTATTGTGTTACCTCATTCAGTGATATGTAGGACTTAAAATAAAACAATTTCAATTCAAATATTAGTTTAAGCCTTCTGTAAGATTAAAACCTGAGAAATAAAATGGCTATTATACACTAGCATTAGGGCAGTATTCACACCTCATTCATGTGAGCCTTGAGCCCCCCCCCCCCAACGTCAGTGCTCTTTAGCTCAAACACAAGTTAAGACCAGTGACTGATCAGCAGCTTGTAAATCAATCAGACACACACACACACACACACACACACACACACACACACACACACACACACACACACACACACACACACACACACACACACACACACACACACGCCTCCTGATAGCATCCATTGTGTTACTGAATGTAACCATGGGAGCATCTGAATGTACTGTGTGTGGGTGTGTGTGTGAGTTGTCTGGTTGCCGTGGTGACATTGCTCGAAACAGAGGAAAGGAGAGACAGACAGCAGAGATTTATACACACGCAGACAAGTGCAAACATGTCATCATCGGCACGGCAGTTGTCATGGTTACCCGCCTTCCCACATCTTATTACGTCACTTCCTGTGCGGAGGCGGGCGGCAGGGAAAACACCACCAACTGAGCCAGCAGCGTCACAGCTACAGAAATGAACATCTGTAGATCTGATGATCTGCAGCCACAGTCCGGCGTTTAGGATCATTAGAAACCACAAACTGAGCTGAGGGATGGATGAAAAACTGATCCTTAGTTTCATCTGTGAGAGTCCCAGTTCCAAACGGAGTTCAACCATGCTGGATCATTGTTAAATCATCACGTTCAAACACTTTACCCACAAAATATAAGGTGAATGTAAAAAGAATACCTGTCTGAATACTGTCTGAATACTACCCATAATACTCGGCTGCTTTGTAAAAGTGTTGTAAAAAAGGTTTTGTAAAACACAACAAATATTGTGCTTTTTTTTGCTGTAAGCAACACAATTCATTGAATGTTTGTTTATCTGTGAAATGCATCCTAGTTTACTTCTCTGTCTTATTGAGACCAAATAGTAAATAACAAGCACCTCTGATCAAATACACCTGAGACTAAAACAGTAATGAGCCCAGGACAGAACCGTGTTGTACTCCGTATAAAAACATCAGTGCAGACAGAGCACAGGACATTATTTCACCATAATGCACTGCACAAAGTTCAGACTGATGGTGGGTTATCACTCATTCATTCAAATCAGTTCTTATGTCACATTTCTTATACATTTAGAAGGTCACAGCACACAACTATTAGTGTTTTAATAGGAACAGCAGACCGTTAGCGTGTTAGTAAATTGATATGCTAGCTACAGGAAATAATCAACACCTGCTGTATTATTTCCACTATCTGGACAATAGGAACTTCACAACATCGGACTAAAATCAAAAGAAGTATCACACACACACTCACTCACACACATGTGCACACACACACACACACACACACACACACACACACACACACACACACACACACACACACACACACACACACACACACACACACAGAATCCCTGCTGCAGTTTCACACCGTCAGTGTGACTCCTAACATTTTCATATTTAATAATCTCTCTATTTTATTGTTGAATAATCTGCTGCAGCTTCAATACTCCAAAAACAATGTATATTGTTTTTTGTGAGCTGAAGACAATGCCTTGGAATTTGTTCCAATATGGTTGCTATTCAAATATAGAAAATGATGTAGTGGAGTACATTCCTTTTATTTGGATCACACTACTGATTTAAATTCTGCATACTCTTGTTGTAAAACATTAATTTAGGAGTAGGCCCATCACTGTAGTATTCTTAGAATATTTATGTGCTGACTCCCCCTGAGATATTTGACAGCAGTAACAGATTGTCGTGTTCTCTGTCGTCATGAACATACTTATACAACACACACACACACACACACACACACACACACACACACACACACACACACACACACACACACACACACACACACACACACACACACACACACACTCAGCTGACCTGCTGCTTTGTTCTCAGGTTCAGTCAGCTGCAGTCTCATTATCTCCTCACATCATGTAAATCAGGCTGACTCCCATCAATATTAAGATCAGGAACGGGCGGGCACAGCGTTGCACGCGCATTGAGTAGTTTGTTTCACACACGCACACAGTGATGAAATGAGAGCACCACAGCACCGAGCCGGCTGGTGAGATCAGACCGAGTAAGGTGCTCGGCCGCCGGGCTGTGTGGGTGAGATGCGCGGACTCACCGTGTCTCAGCCGGTCCTCTGTCTCTGTGTGCGGGGCTTCTCTACTCTGTGAGCATCCTGAACCCTCCGCTCTCTGACTCATAGCATCATCATCATCATCATCATCATCATCACCATCATCATCATCAGACCTGCTTCTGATCAGCACACATCAGCCCTCCTCTTCCTCCTCCTCCTCCTCCTCCTCCTCCTCCTCCTCCCTCCATCTCCATCACCTCCTTCCTCCGCTCCGCCGGCAAAACAGGAAAGGAGCCTTCCTCTGGGGTTTATCCTTTGCTTTTCAGAATAAAAGCGTGATTTACAACCCTACAGGCCTCAGACAAACATATCAAATACACGAAATGCGCACACAACTGAAACAAGCAGTCATTATAAAGCCACGACAGAGAACAGACCTGAGTGTAATAGTCATACAATGTAATAATGTTATTACTTTAATAATTTATATGGAAAAATTCATGTTTTACTTTTATTCTGAAGGATGTAATTGCAAAGCGGAAGTCTTTTTCCATCGTGTTACCTGAAATATCATGGTCCTCTTCCAAAGTAAAAATACATTGTCCTCCACACCTCCACCAGCGTCACGCAGACACGTCATCTCCCAAGAGGAGAGCTGCAGTCAGACACTGTTGTACAACCTGGTGTTCAGATCACATTAGAAACCGACAATGATCATGATAAATATATTTGAATTATTATAACAAGTGTTGATGTTTAAATACAGGGCTAATTTGAATATGAACAAAGAAAAAATATGTTTGTGACTGTATGTAGATTTGATAATCAGATCATAATAAGAATGCATTTTAAATTGTCAACGATATAACCAAAGCATTGTCGTCATTTGAAACCAGAAAAGATTCATTTCCTTCCTGACGTGCAACAAACAAAAAGACACGTAAAAAGGCAGTCAAATGTATTTGATGTTTTTATTTAATTCATGTTATTTCTGCAATATTGTATGTTACATTTTAAGGTTGTGCTCATTGTCCTTTTTATACTGTTTACTCCATGTACTGCAATGGATCATATTCTTTAAGATCGTCAGATGGTGTGTGTGTGTGTGTGTGTGTGTGTGTGTGTGTGTGTGTGTGTGTGTGTGTGTGTGTGTGTGTGTGTGTGTGTGTGTGTGTGTGTGTGTGTGTGTGTGTGTGTGTGTGTGTGTGTGTGTGTGTGTGTGTGTGTGTGTGTGTGTGTGTGTGTGTGTGTGTGTGTGTGTGTGTGTGTGTGTCGCTATCCTGTGAGAACCCCCTAACTAAAATGAACAGATTTGGAGATACATGGTTGTCATTAGATAATCTGTTGATGTTATGTAATGTTACATTGAGGGCTGACAGCAGTGAGTGATCCATAGCGGAGTGCATTTGAATAGACTGGAAGCTTGTGTTGTCATACTCTGATGATTATTGGAGATGTTGTAAATCGGACAGAATGTAGGGGTATACAATCACGAAGCTGACCCCAAGAGCCGTGGCTCCCTCTGGTGGGGGGGTTTAGTATTGCAAAGAACACATGTAAGTATTTACAATAGGGCAGCGCCCCCCGCAACAAACATTGGTTGCTCTTTGATATAATTTAAAATATGTATACATTTCATATGTATTATTGCTACATAAAAGTTATCTTATTTCTGATACTCTTCACTCCATTAGAGAGAGATCTCTCTCTTTAATTGAGTGAAGAGTATATAACTGGTTTAGTGTCCTTTAAGTCACCATCAACATGTTGACATTGGAATATTCTAGCACTACAGTGGAAATTACATTACATTACATTGCATTTAGCTGACGCTTTTATCCAAAGCGACTTACAATAAGTGCGTTCGACCAACAAAATACAACTTGAAGAAAACAGAATCATATAAGTACATCAGGCTTCATAGAGCAAAAACATTTCAAGTGCTACTCAACTGGCTTTAGAAAAGCCAGTCCTTTATTAGTATAAAAGTGCTTTGTTAATAGTTCTATCGCTCGAAGTGGAGTCGAAAGAGATGAGTTTTTAGTCTGCGCCGGAAGGTGTGTAAGCTATCTGCCGTCCTGATGTCAATGGGGAGCTCATTCCACCATCTTGGAGCCAGGACAGCAAACCCACGTGTTTTTGCTGATGGGAACTTGGGTCCCTCTCGCAGCGAGGGTGCAGCGAGTCGTTTGGCTGATGCAGAGCGAAGTGCACGTGCTGGGGTGTACGGTTTAACCATGTCCTGGATGTACGAAGGGCCAGATCCATTCGCAGCACGGTAAGCAAGTACCAGTGTCTTGAAGTGGATTCTAGCAGTTACCGGAAGCCAGTGAAGGGAGTACTTCTACTTTTACTGAAGTACAGAAGAAATGCTGCCTTTATTTCAGACAACAAGCCAAAGAGGGCCAGATGTCCGGACAACAAGCCAAGTACATGTACTTGAGTAAAAGTAGAAGTACTCAGATCATGTACTTCAGTAAAAGTAGAAGTACTCAGATATTCAGGAAAAGTAGAAGTATTCAGATCATGTACTTCAGTAAAAGTAGAAGTACTCAGATCTTGTACTTCAGTAAAAGTAGAAGTACTCAGATCATGCACTTGAGTAAAAGTAGAAGTACTCAGATCATGCACTTCAGTAAAAGTAGAAGTACTCAGATCTTGTACTTCAGTAAAAGTAGAAGTACTCAGATCTTGTACTTGAGTAAAAGTAGAAGTACTCAGATGTTGTACTTGATTAAAAGTAGAAGTACTCAGATATTGTACTTGAGTAAAAGTAGAAGTACTCAGATCTTGTACTTAAGTAAAAGTAGAAGTACTCAGATCATGTACTTGAGTAAAAGTAGAAGTACTCAGATCTTGTACTTCAGTAAAAGTAGAAGTATTCAGATATTGTACTTCAGTAAAAGTAGAAGTACTCAGATCTTGTACTTGAGTAAAAGTAGAAGTACGCAGATGTTGTACTTGATTAAAAGTAAGTACTCAGATATTGTACTTCAGTAAAAGTGGAAGTACTCAGATCATGTACTTCAGTAAAAATATAAGTACTCAGATCGTGTACTTGAGTAAAAGTAGAAGTACTCAGATGTTGTACTTGATTAAAAGTAGAAGTACTCAGATATTGTACTTGAGTAAAAGTAGAAGTACTCAGATCTTGTACTTAAGTAAAAGTAGAAGTACTCAGATCATGTACTTGAGTAAAAGTAGAAGTACTCAGATCTCGTACTTGAGTAAAAGTAGAAGTAATCAGGTCTTGTACTTGATTAAAAGTAGAAGTACCAGAGTGTAGGAATACTCTGTTACAGTAAAAGTCCTGCATTCAAAATGTTACTCAAGTAAACGTAGAAAAGTATTATCATCAAAATATAGTGAAAGTAGCGACAGTGAAAGTAGTCGTTGTGCAGATTGGTCCATTTCAGAATAATATATATGATATGTTTTATAATGATTGATCATGAAAGTGTTCTCAAAGCTGGTAAAGGTGCAGCTAGTTTGAATGACTTTGTATACTGCAGGGTAGCTGGTGGATTTACTCCAGGTGGAACTAAAGTCTGATTCAACACTTGATTAGATTTCACATCATTCATCCAGATCTGTGAAGTAACTAAAGGTATTAAATACATGTAGTGGAGTAGAAGTACACCATTTACCTCTGAACTGTAGAGGAGTAGAAGTACAAAGTAGCAACACTTGAAATAATCAAGTAAGTACAAGTATCTCAAAATTGTATTTAAGTACAGTACTTGAGTAACTCTACTCAGTTTCTTACTGCAGGTACGTTATGTGTGGTAGCAGCCATCCACACTATAGATTAAACAAAGCAATGTTAATTCTGTTTCCAATTTGTTTAGATTTTCCCTTGAAAAGTAACAAAAATAACCGATAAGAGTACCGTTAAAGTACCGGATCGATAAGCAGTATTGGTAAGAGTAGTAGTACCGTTAAAATCTTAACGATACCCACCCCTACACACAAGCCATTGATAGGCATGCTATGTGTGGAATAGGAAATACATTATTTGCAAGCTGCTGTAAAAATAGTAGTTAATGATGATTATTTTTTTCATTAACAGATTTTTGAATAAAAAAATCTACTATTCAGGGAAGTAGGGCTACTAGTTTCAATTAGGTCTGACCATTATTTCACAGTGCACAGGATAATCTGCCAATACAAGCACTTTCGTTCAGTGGTTCCCAAAAGTGGGTCGCGGACCCGTTTCGAGTGAGTCGCAGATGTGTGAGTTTTTTTTGGAAAAAAGTCAAACTTTTATTTTGAAGACCCGATTTTCTAACGCTGTGCATGCACTAGGCGTTGGACAGGGGGTGTTTCTCAATGTCGAGGAAGGCTCCTCCAGAGCCACTATTTCAAGGATGCTACGTCATCGAGTCCCGCCGAAGGACTGTTTCAATATCCAGGATCCTTGGAATTCTACCAAGGCTGGCTTCCTTCATTGCGGGAAATTTCGAGGCTGCACATGTATATCCTCCGCGGTCTTAAAATCCCCACAATGCTTTGCGCACGGACCAATTTCCCAAATCTTTGGCGGAGAATTTAAGTTAGCCCAGTGTTTCTCAAAGTGGGGGGCGCTTACCCACAATTTAAAGTAAGTCACACAGACTATCTCCTCTTTACTCTTTTTCTCTCTCTGTGTGGAGCAGCAAGTTCAGCAGTCAGAACAAAGTGAAGAACAAACAATGGCATAACATATTATTAATATGTCGGGTATACATTTACTTAATTTCTTCTCAGAGGGTACCAGAATGCGTAGTTTATATAATAATAATAATAATAATAATAATAATAATAATGCATTACATTTTTTATTAGAGCGTTAGTATTTCTAAAAATCTCCTGGGGGAGAATCCCCCCAGACCCCCTACTGGGGTTGGGTTTTCAGCATAGAATATAATAGAATTGGGAGGGATGAAACCCTCTGTAATGGTCACACATGCAGAGCACACAGCACACAGTGAAATGTGTTCTCTGCATTTAACCCATCCTAGTACCAGGAGTCCAGTACTAGGAGCAGTGGGCAGCTATTGTACAGCACATGTGTGCCTTTTTATGTTATACAGTTCAGCTTTGATTTCATCATATAATTAAACCTTTTTTAAAAGCATACTTTAGTTCTGTGAAGGGATATAAGGGATATACTGTATGCACTGTACTTCACTTTAATTAATATTGTATGCTGAAAAGCGTATATATATATTACAGCACGATTTTTTGTTGAATAGATTTGAGTGGTTCAACATTTCGGGTCGCGATTTGTTGACAAAGGAAAAAAGTGGGTCCCGAGGCCTGACCAGTTGAGAACCACTGCTTTAGTTCATGTTCAGTCCATAATAACATGTAAAATGAAGTTGGATCTCTGTGTCTTGTTATTATTAGCAGAGAAAATGTAATGTTTGTACAACTACAATTATTAGGCGCTTTCACACCGCAGTACTTTTCCCACAAAGGTTCATCTGTACTTAGTTCATGAGAACTCTTTAGTTCTCATGAACTAAGTACAGATCACGTTCACACCGGAATAAGTCCCTGGGGGTGGATTAGGCAAATGAAGCCGCTGACGTCACTTCTTCTTCTTCTGCTTTGGGTTTACTGGCAGGCCGCAAACAACTTCACGGCGTATACTGCCACCCAAAGTCCCCGGCCGGAAGTCCCCGGAGTTGGGGACTGGCTTTTTTGGAGTTTTATGGGGCGTGGTTTGCAATCCGCCCAGCCAATAAGAAATAGGAACCTTTTTCTCCGACGAAAGTCCCTGCTCTCTAGCAGGGACGGAAAAGGGGGTGAAAAGGTTCTCATGAACTAATTTGAGTTCCGGCTCTTTTTGGTGTGAACGCGACCTTTCGGAACTATATCGGAACTAAAGTGGGAAAAGTACTGCGGTGTGAACACGCCTAATGCTACCAATCGAGGTTGGTACCAGCGGCGCCGGATTCATTTCAGAAGTGGGGGGGGCAAAAAGTGTGTGTGTATGTGGCATACTTGCCAACCCTCCCGATTTTCGCGGGAGACTGCTGATTTCATTGCCCTCTCCCGGTTTCCTCCCGGGGTCATATTTATCCCGCATTTCTCCCGATTTCTGACTAGATCTGATTTGTGAGTCACGACCTGTTTCATTCCAACATAACGCTCCAAATGTTACTGTTTCCACTCGGACTTCAATACAGCTACACCATTGTTTGGTTTCCATGGTAACGCGTCTCTTTAGTAGCGCGAGGGTGTTCAGCATGGTGAGGAAGATAGTCACAGAAAACAGAACAAGAATGGACAACTCGACCCTCTGCTCACTCCTTTCCTGTAAATTAAACTATACAGACCAGCCCACACATATGACAGCGCGGTTGCTCCATCATTCCATCTCTTCTTTTTCCTGCTCAATACGCTCTTGTTTACAAGCTGAATGTTGACTGGTGTTCGACTGAAGTAAGCGCACTTTTTTTGAACACACTCTCTGTGAAAATGAGACTTTTCGTGTCGGTTATTAACTCCGGTATTTACAAAGCTGTCATCTCCACATTTGGAGAAAGTTACAAGCCGTTTGACAGCAGCACATCTGCATATTTCACAGAAGGCTCGTTTAGTGGTTTTGCAAAGAATGAACCACTCTCTGTTTTTGTACCATTCTGCATTGAAATACCTTTCTCTTTGCCAGGACAATCTAGCGGTCTCCTTTTTATCTACAATTAGCTGTGCAGCTTTACTCGTCTCAATGTCCCGACAACAAACCTCCACGCAGTCGGAACCAGCCTGTTTCGGTTCACAGCCGGTGTTGACAGCCTCAGCGGCCGCAGAGCTGCTGCTTTGGGGTTCATCTGGCTGCGCTGGTTCTATGGTTGAAGGACCAGGCTCCGGAGTTGTGGATGTCAGGGATGTGACATTGAAGTTGTTGAAGTTCAGTTTGGTTTGACTGTATTTTATTTTATTATGCGCTGGTTCTTCTGACATGTTTGCAATATCAATAGCTAGGTTAATGCTGACACAGAACAACGTAAGAAATAAACAAATATAAGCTTTTGTATTGGTTGTAATGTACATGGATGCATTTGAATGGTGTGACAATGTCCTCTTTGATTGGATTAAAATGTACATATTCTTCCTGTTATGTTTGCCTGCTTTATTTTACCTAATGCAATATATGAACCTCTGTCGCTGCCTGTAGCTAATGAGATTGTCTTATCATCTCCTCAATTTGCAAAAATAACAAAATATACACAACTAGATCAGATCGGTTCTTTTTAGATGCGACTTTAGAGTAGAGGGGAATTATTGAAACAGGATGTACAGTGTTCCGCGGCATCCGCTGCTGCGAAAATGTGGGGCAGGGCTGTAAAGTGGGGGGGCCAATGACCCCTTGGCCCCCCTGCTTCCGGCACCCCTGGTACCGGGTCAGGGGGATCTTGAAAATATTTGGCTGTCAAGTTAACGCGTTAATAACGTGTTAATAACGCGTTAATAACGCGTTAACGCAAAACAAAATTAACGGCACTAATTATTTTAACGCGATTAACGCATGTGTATTTTTATCCTCGGCCGCCCCGTAGTTTCAGAGTGCATCGAGTTTAAAATATCATCTACAAGCTGATGCTGATAGCCCCGCTCCTGCCGCCTGCTTGCGGCAGACCACACTTCCATGCTCACCGGCAGGCACCGACTGGCCATCGGGAGGACCGGGAGGGTGTGTGTATGTGTGGCGAGAGAGAGAGAGAGACCTTACGTGTATTGTTGTTGTTAGCATCTGGTGCTAGCTAGCTGCGCTAACGGATATAAGGAGCTGTTTAAATGAAAACAGAGGAGCGACATTTCGCCACAACTGCGCCGAGCACTTGACTTTATGCAGGAAGCCAGACAGTGGGACATTGTACGAGAAGTCAGCACACTCAGCACGGATAGTGCGCGCAACATGATCGCAGCGTCCAGGCAGCTCCCGTTCGAGCATATGCCTTGAGTTGCACATAGCTCCAACGAACACACACACACACACACACACACACACACACACACACACACACACACACACACACACACACACACACACACACACGCACATACCATGTATACATCACTTCAGGGGACATTACATTGACTTACATGCATTTCCTGGAGACTTATCCTAACCTTAACCAGAACCAACACATGCCTAACCCTAACCCTTACCCTTAACCTTACCCTTAACCTTACCCTTAACCTTACCCTTACCCTAACCCTAATCCTAAACTTAACCAAGTCTTCACCCTAAAATTAATGATTCCCCTCATGGGGACCTCCAATTTGTCCCCATAAGGGAAGCCAGTCCCCACACGTGACTTTGTAAACAGATTTAGGTCCCCACAAGTAAAGTAATGCTAGACCACACACACACACACACACACACACACACACACACACACACACACACACACACACACACACACACACACACACACACACACACACACACACACACACACACACACACACACACACACACACACACACACACACACTTTGTATTGTATTCATGAATGAGAGAGGTTCCAGGTTGAATTGAGGTGAATATTTGTAATGTTCAGAGGTTGTTGTGTTTAATATTGTTCATTGTTCAAATGATAATAAACATTAGCATAAAGCATATTTGTCCACTCATATGTTGATAAGAGTATTAAAAACTTGAAAAATATTCCTCTAAGGTACATTTAGAACAGATAAAAAATGTGCGATTAATTGGCGATTAATCGCGATTAACTATTTTAATCGACTGACAGCCCTAGTAATTACCCAAGGGGGGCCTGACTGAAAAGGTTTGGAAATCTCTGCATAAACATATACTGCATCTGCAGCGTCACTGCCTCGTCTCCTGATATGTGGATGTTTTTAGATTTCAGAGATTAGAGTCTTTGAATTGAAATGAATGCTGCAACGAAAAGTATACATTGACACAGTAGAAAACACATATTTGACAACTCTTTTGATGATTGAAAAGTTGATATAATAATGACTATATTATTCATTAGAAATTGGAGAACAAGTTATTCACAGCTTCTTAAATGTTCAGTTTTCCTGCATGTCTTTATAATATATTAAAGTGGACATCTTTGGGATTCTTCATACAGATTTTTTGTATCTGTATGAAGATACAAAAAAAAAATCTTCATAGTTGTTTTTTAATCTGTTTTTAAATGTTCTTTGTAGTTTTTTGTGTGTGTTTGTAGTTATTTTGAGAATCTTTGTAGCAGCTTGTTTGTGTCTCTCTCATGAGTCTGAGTAGTTGATTTGCAGTCATTTTGACTTCCTTTTCAGTTGTTTTGTTTCTCTTTTTATCTTTGTGAGGTCATTTTGTTTCTCCTATAAGTTGCTTTGTCTCTTTGGTCATTTTGAGTCGCTGTGTTTGTGTGTGTCTCTGTGTAGTAATATTGTGTGTGGTTGTTGTGCTCTGTTTTGCAGTCAGCTGTAGTCTTTTTGTTCTCTTGGATTTTTGGCTCGTTAATAGTCCAGTTTATAAGGTGTTTACATTTTAAGTCGAGTGTGAGAATGTACATGTGCAGTATTTAGAATACTTCAGAATAATGATAATGTATCTTTTTGTTATGTGCTTTCTATTCTACCACAGGTCTGTTCTGATTGATTGATTGATTGAAAAGTTTATTAACAGCTTGTATATTGGGTACAGTACAGTACAGCTCAAAACATACAATTGTTAAGGGGATGCAGACCAGAGAAAGACTTTCGTCTTGTTTACATCAGGGTCCCCCATTTCCAATTCATCACATCATTTAAGACATATAAGACATATTTGACATACAGATGGCTTATTTACAATTTACATACAGGTGGTTTTTTACATGCAGATTGCTTGTTTACAATTTTCATTTTAGATTTCGTTCTAATACATCCTAACCGGACATTTAAGACATACCAAGTCTACAGATATACAGTTAGTAACAGAGTCTAAAATGCGAGTATATACATAGATGGGGGGGGGGGGGGCATCTGATGATGTGGCTGATCCAACCACTGCATCAGGCTTTTTAACAGGCTTCTGCTTTTCTTTATGATAGCAAGCGTTAAAGCTTCCTCATGAAATATATTCATCATCAATAGCATCTGTCTTTCAGCTCTCTCCCTGCTGCTCCCCCCCCCCCCCCCCCCCCGCTTTCACTCACCCCTCCCCCCCCCCCCTCTCTCCCTCCCTTTCTCCTTCAGTGATCTTCAGCTCAGCTCGGAGTCATGAGGTAAGAACGGAGCTCTCCTTCTATGTATTTAAATCACATTATTATCGTATTGTATGTATATGCTACCCGGGTAAAGCGTGCATCCCGAGCCTCCTGCCCTCTCTGACTCAGCTCGGCTCGGTTCGGTTCGGCTCAGAGCTGTGAGTCACAGACAATGCGAGGATGTCAAATCAGACGCTAGAAGGCTATTTCTAAAACCTGCAGCATCAAATCCAAATATGTAAGCTTTAAATCCGATTTTTATTATTTAGATTATATTCTCAGAGCTGCGTTTTTATCCTGTTTCCATTCCATCCATCATTCATGCGATGTTTTGGGGGTGCGTCCTCTTCTCTTTCTCCTCCTTCATGCGGGCGGACGATGGAGGGTGGAGGGATGATGAATCATATATGTGGACAAAAAAAGGCTGCAGCGAAAACCCATTTCAGGGGTCGAATATAAAAATGGAAAATGTTTGCCGGTTTGATAGGCCTAGTAAGTATCCTTTATGGTAAAAAAACAACAGTGTGGACCTCCATCACACGGTCTGCTCAGGTCCAGCTGTTGGATCTGATCTCAGGTGGTTTCTTTTCCGGCTGGCTGATGATTAGTGGCCGTGAACGTCTCCTGCGGTCTGTGTGTGTCTGTGCTGCGTTCACGGCCCTGCTGTCTCATGACTCTGGCTCAGTAGTGTTCTCTGTGTTTATGTGGAAGCTATCCTGATGGTATCTGCATGTTTTTAGATTCGTAGGCCTATGGCTGTTTATTCCGGTCTGTATTGACCGTTTAGGCTGGAACAACACTGGGTCAGATCTCTTTGAAATTAACTCAGTTACTGAATAGAAACAACGGGGCATTTTCTTAGTAAAGTTACCTGGCTGTACAGGAATGAAAAACTTGTAATATAATTTCAATTTCAAACACAATCAAGCATTGTAAATATTTCACCATTTTGTCAATGTCAATGTCAAAATGATAATTTCACACAACGTTTCTGTTTCATAATGAGAAGAAAGAGCAGAGAATATTGTTTAAAACTTGTAAATATTTACTCAAAAGATGAATATGATTGAGCTGGTTTAATGTTTTTGAATAAAATTAGACTATATAAGGTTAATCTATCATTTTCATTGATTAATGCCATAGTGTACACACAAGGTCAAGTATTAATAACTCATTTATTTTCACTCTGTCTGCCTTAGATGATGATTCATTGTTTGTTTGTAGCCTTTATTTAACCAGGTGAAAGCCCCTTGAGATCAAAAGATCTCTTTTTCAAGGGTGACCTGCAGAAAAAATGCATAGATTCAAGATTGTATTTAAAAGCTTGTTTGTAATCTTACAAAGATGGGTTTAGGAGTAATGATCGCCAACAGATGTGTTCTAAATAACTGTAGAAGTTGTATAATATATCTCCAGGAGAGTCTTTAATAGTCATCTCAACTACAGGATTCTCTCAGTTCTTCTCTTACAATCATAGTTAGGGCACGTGATATTATATTTCTTTATTACGTCGTAGAACAGGAAACCGAGGGAGAGGAAGTGAAGGGTAAATGTGACCCTGGTGATCAGAGATGACCCGCGTCATGAACACAACACAGGCAGGCACACGTCCGTGGTTCTGCTTTAGTGCAAAGGTTGATGACGGTCTGTCTGTAGTTGGACTTTTCATTACCTCTCTTAATAGAGTTGTATATTATCCAGAATCCTCAAGATCCCAGAGCCTGATGCTGCTGACAGATGAGTGTGATGGAGGGTGTGCAGGGTGGAGGACTCAGGGTGTGGCTCATTCTGTCTGTTTATTGACCATCGTCAAAGGACATTTCAGAAATTCAACCTTTAGAATCAAAGAGAAACGTTCATGATGACCAGTTTCACCAGATTCACAGGAAAAGAGGAGAACTGATGGTTATGGCTGGCTTTTGTATTTTGGTTGTATAATGACTGATTCGTTTTGGTTGTAAAGGAAGAATAAAAAACAAAACAATTTATAACATAAAGTATAAGTCAAAAGTGTTAAACCTAAGTAGGTTATACTGCATGTACTTATGTTATACTTATACTTATGTTATACTTATACTTGTGTTATACTGCACTTTTGGAATGTGTAACTCCAAATTAAAATACTGAAATCATCCTGGATTTTTTTATTTATCCGATGGCCAAAGAGACCAGACTATAATCCTAATCTTCAAAAAAGATATTGAAATCAATTTGAGTCCTTCCTGTTTTCTGATCTGCTCCTACTCCAACAAACAAACACTTATATTCCATTTTTATCTTTGAACATTATGGAAATTCTTTTTTTCATATTTCTTTTTGAAATCGATTTTAAAATGTTAATTAATTACATTTCTTATTATCATCCTTCTTATATTTACCTTCTAGTTTGTGGGACAACATTCAAGGATTGCATTTCCTTAGTAAAACATTGTGATTTGAAACGAAATGTACCTTCTTCTTTTTACATCCTTTGCTTTCCTACTGTTGGAAAGATTTATTGACAATTCATTTATTTAATGTTGTGGTCACTGGTCAAATGTCTGATTGTCCTTAAATGCACCAACAGGATGTGATGTCTCTCAGCTTCATCTGCACATGAGGAGAATGTTTGACAGAAAACAAGCAAATGTGTATTTTCTTAGAAATGTAGTGAAATCCATCTGAAAACTGAGTGATTTAGTAAATGGAGGCTGGTCACCAGAGAGGTGTGTGATGTGGAGTTTAGTCTCAGTGTGTGGGACACTGAACTGTCTGGGGTCAAGTTTCAAACTAAACTTCAGGTTCTTTTAGCTACAAACTGCAGAAAGCTATGTGGCTTTACAATAAATATGAATTGGTCATTTAAACCTGGAACAGCTTCTATTCAAACATACTGAGAATCGACAAAAACGTTACAATTTGACATTTATAGGTAATATGTATTTAGTTAGTGTTCTTCAAAACAAAGCTCCACATTGCTTATGTTACATCAAGTTTAAGTTACGGATAAAGTTAGTCAAATCTGATTGAATAGAGCTTGTAGCATAATGTGCTTTAATGGTTGACTCGTTGGTGTCTTTAGAGTTGTACTAATGGATATTCTAAAACACGCAGAGTGCAGTGAAAGTGAATGTTTTGGCTGTTGTTGAAATGAAGCTGTGTCTGCAAACCACAGCCTAAAAGACAGACAGGAGGTCCTTGTTCTCTGAGCTGAAGAGGCATTGATGATGTCACATTATAAAACGTTGAATTTTAGGAAAGTTGCGTAGCTTCAGACGGAGAGAGCTGAACGTCTGCTGTCCAACACTGACCTGACCTCCGTCCTGCTGTAGAGCTGAGGCCAGAGAGCTGAGGCCAGAGAGCTGAGGCCAGAGAGCTGAGGCCTGAGAGCTGAGGCCTTAGAGCTGAGGCCTGAGAGCTGAGGCCAGAGAGCTGAGGCCAGAGAGCTGACGGCCTGAGAGCTGAGGCTTGAGAGCTGAGGCCAGAGAGCTGAGGCCAGAGAGCTGAGGCCAGAGAGCTGAGGCCAGAGAGCTGAGGCCAGAGAGCTGAGGCCTGAGAGCTGAGGCCTGAGAGCTGAGGCCTTAGAGCTGAGGCCTGAGAGCTGAGGCCAGAGAGCTGAGGCCAGAGAGCTGAGGCCAGAGAGCTGAGGCCTGAGAGCTGAGGCCCTTAGAGCTGAGGCCTGAGAGCTGAGGCCAGAGAGCTGAGGCCAGAGAGCTGAGGCCTGAGAGCTGAGGCTTGAGAGCTGAGGCCTGAGAGCTGAGGCCAGAGAGCTGAGGCCAGAGAGCTGAGGCCTGAGAGCTGAGGCCAGAGAGCTGAAGGGTCAGTGAGCTGAGGCCTGAGAGCTGAGGCCAGAGAGCTGAGGCCCAGAGGACGCTAGGAGGCCTGAGAGCTGAGGCCAGAGAGCTGAGGCCTGAGAGCTGAGGCCAGAGAGCTGAGGCCAGAGAGCTGAGGCCAGAGAGCTGAGGCCTTAGAGCTGAGGTCTGAGAGCTGAGGCCAGAGAGCTGAGGCCAGAGAGCTGAGGCCAGAGAGCTGAGGCCTTAGAGCTGAGGCCTTAGAGCTGAGGCCTGACAGCTGAGGCCAGAGAGCTGAGGCCTTAGAGCTGAGGCCTGAGAGCTGAGGCCAGAGAGCTGAGGCCAGAGAGCTGAGGCCTGAGAGCTGAGGCCAGATAGCTGAGGCCAGAGAGCTGAGGCCAGAGAGCTGAGGCCAGAGAGCTGAGGCCAGAGAGCTGAGGCCAGAGAGCTGAGGCCAGAGAGCTGAGGCCAGAGAGCTGAGGCCAGAGAGCTGAGGCCTGAGAGCTGAGGCCAGAGAGCTGAGGCCAGAGAGCTGAGGCCAGAGAGCTGAGGCCAGAGAGCTGAGGCCAGAGAGCTGAGGCCTGAGAGCTGAGGCCAGAGAGCTGAGGCCTGAGAGCTGAGGCCAGAGAGCTGAGGCCAGAGAGCTGAGGCAGAGAGCTGAGAGCTGAGGCCTGAGAGCTGAGGCCAGAGAGCTGAGGCCAGAGAGCTGAGAGCTGAGGCCAGAGAGCTGAGAGCTGAGGCCAGAGAGCTGAGGCCAGAGAGCTGAGGCCTGAGAGCTGAGGCCAGAGAGCTGAGAGCTGAGGCCCCTCATGGAGCTTCTGCCCGACAGCTCTCTGTTTCCTCAGCTCATGTTGGAGGCGTGGCATCAGGGTTCTGCTGCACCTTTTCAAAGTACTACAGATATTTGTGTATAGGGTCTTGGAATTTGTAAATATAATAAAGATAAAACAAGCCATCCGCCTTCATAAGTCACAGAGACAGAAGCAGCATACTTACAACAACAACAACAACAACAACAACAACAACACAACAACAACAGCTACATGGCCTTGTGTTTGCAGACAGGAAGTGTGGGTGCTCATTCACTCTATGATCACATGACTGTGTGTTGTTGTGAATTAAGCTCATTGATTGTGCTGCCGTAAGAGCTTCATCCACCCTCTTCCTCCTCCTCCTCCTCCTCCTCCTCCTCCTCCTCCTCCTCCTCCTCCTCCTCCTCCTCCTCCTCCTCCTCCTCCTCCTCCTCCTCCTCCTCCTCCTCCTCCTCCTCCTCCTCCTCCTCTTCCTCATCCTCCTCGGCCTCCTCCTCGGCCTCCTCTTCCTCCTCCTCGGCCTCCTCTTCCTCCTCCTCCTCCTCCTCCTCCTCCTCCTCTTCCTCATCCTTCTCCTCTTCCTCCTCTTCCTCCTCCTCCTCGTCCTCCTCTTCCTCCTTCTCCTCCTTCTCTACTTCCTCCTTCTCCTCTTCCTC